CAGGGACGGGACAGCCTCAGCTTCTCTGAGCAACTTGTGCCAGAGGCACTCCACCCTCACAGGGAAGAATTTCTTCCCAGTATGCCATCTAACCCTGCCCTCCTCCAGCTTAAAGCCACTGTTCTGTCACTCCAGGCCCTTGTCCAAAGTCCCTGTCCAGCTCCTTTGAGCCCCTTTAGGCACTGGAAAGGACTCTAAGGTCTCACTGGAGACTTCTCCAGGCTGAACATCCCCAGCTCTCCCTGTCTGCATTTTTTTTGGTCATCTTTTTCTATGGTTTTTTTTTAATTTCAGGGGGATTTTTCTTCTCTGTTGCTCATCTTTCCCTCATACTTGGTGCCTCCCCACCCTGTTTATCGTGAATGAATTCCCATTTCCTGTCATTTTTCACCCACTGGTGCCGTGTGGGTTTCAGAGTTACTGCTTACCCTTGGGCTGCAAAGATGGTGGTTTGGAGTAGGTGGCTTGGAACTGCTGTGCCCTGTTTGCTGGCAGGTGAGACACATTACATGAGGAGATTCAGGCTGAAACAGGGATTCCTTTCTGCACCGTGCGAGTGAAAGGTGGGTTTCTTGCTGCAAGACATTACAGGTAAAACTTTTTCCTGGGCTCACAAACCCAAATGAAAGCATTAGCACAGGAGGCTGCAGCCCCTGAGGGAGCTCATGAGTCTTGGAGCTCCAATGGAGCCCCTGTTTGCTGGCATGGCTTGGGCACCTTGTGGGCTTAAAGGCTTTGCTGCCTTTACCAGATGGTTTGGAGCAAACAGTGTATCTGCAGCACAGGAACCTCTGAGAGGGATCATCCCTGTGGCTCCAGGGGTGCTCACCCTCCTGCACAAGCAACTTGGAGCTGTGTTTTTTGGGACATCCCACATAAAGGGAAACCTTGAGTGAGAACAAGGGCAGGGAGCACTTTCGCTAGGGCAACTGCAGGACAGGGCTGAGTTCCAGAGGTTTGCGAGGGGCTCTGGCATCACATGGTGCCATAATCACCCTCACAGAGGAGCTAAGTAGGTGGCAGGGGCTAAGGGCTGGCAGGGATCTGGTAACAGAGCCTCAGTGCTGACATGCTGGGGATGGCATTTGCTTTCAGCCATTTGCATTTGCAGCAGAGCCCTGGAGTTGCCCCAGTCCAGGATGACTGGGACTGGGGTCCAGCTGTAGCTTCAGTCCTTTCTTGAATTTGCTTCCTGCATTTGTTGCTGGTGATGGGAGGGTGACAAATGCAATGGAGAAGGGATGCTCTGGGTGTCTGTTGTGGGTGGCTGAGCTGAAATGTGCTTGGGGCGGGGAGGTGCGAAGGATGCCCATCCATGTTGTGCTGCAGGGCTTTCTCTGTCTACTGTTCCTGTGGCCTCTCTCATCCGGTGCTGCCCACAGTCCCCAAAACTGCTGGTTGTGAAGCTTTCCATATTTGCTTGGGGGTGGTAAAGCTGTTGTGGGAAGGGTTGAGTTCCTTCAGTTCAGGTTTTCTGCTGGCCAAGAACTTGCTTTTTTTGATTAAGAAAAAGAACCTTGAGCCAGCACAGGGTGTAAAAGCTCCCTTGAGCTCAAAAGCTCAAGCCTCAAAAGATGGCAACTTCTCCATCCCTGCAGTGTTCAATCACCAGTGCCAAGGCAAATTTCTCCCACGCTACTTGGGCATGAGCAGCCCAGTATTTCCCAAGTGGGAGAGGAGAGTGTTTCTGCTGGCAGAGACAGTGTCCTGCTTTCAGTCCTAGCTCCCTCCGTGCCCACCATCACACCACCTTGTATCACCAGCTACTTTCTGTGATCCCACCAGTTGGCTGAAGGCAGCATCCCAGTGGCTGCATGGCTGGGACAAGACACAATCCTTGATGGAAGTGTATGGGATTTTGCTTTGCTTTCACAAGTCCTCCACAGAGGAGGAGCAGGACCAGGATGTGTTGGGTTAGAGCTGACCCTGCTCAAAAGTGGGAGGACGCAGGAGGGAGAAACAGAGCATGCTAATCCCAGCCCTGGTTTAATTTTGGTGATTCCAAAGAATCCAGAGCAGAGCATCCAACAGGATTGTGTTTTCCAGTGCTCTTTGTCCTGTGCCAGAGGACAGCTCCTCTTTGGGAAGAATCTGTGGTTGGGTTTCCATAACTGGGGGTGATTGGAAAGCTCTGCCTGTGTGATTTCAGGTCCACAGGTGGGTGGGTACCAAAACCTGAGGAACATCTCTGAAAGGAGTCAGCCATAGCTGTGCCATGGCTACTGAGGGCAATGCAGGAGAGCTGGCCCTGGAAAGGATGGGGACATTTCCAGTCCCTCTGGGATCCTCCTCTAGAGCAGCCTCCTGCGAGGATTTGGTTTACTCTGTGGAATACCAGCTTGGGAAAAGGGATTCATTGATCCAAACTTGTTTCCTCCCTCACAACTCCACATCTGTTCTGGGGTCAGGAATACTGAATGCTCCTTTCAGTGCCCAGGAGCCTATCCAAGCACCACAGCCAATATAATGGACACCATGGACCCAGTCAACCCCAAATTCCATAGAAATAAGGGAAAGAAAGGTGTATTTTTGGTGAAGCACAGCTTTGCTGCCTTGTGTTGAGCTCATGCAGGTCACCCCCCAACTCCTTCCCAGCAGTGCACAGCAAGCAGTTTTGCACAGCAGTTTTGCTGGAAGAGCTGGGGGGATGGCATGGCTGAGCTGGTGCTGGAGCTTTCCCATTCCTCCATGGCCCAGCAGACTCTGGGGACTCACAATGCGTGGCCTCTCCTGCCTTTTTCGAGCCAAGGGACTGAGCTGCTTGCAGCATGCAGGGGCTGTCCAAATCCCATAGCCTATAATTTCCTGCCTCTAGCTCTTCTCTTTTTAGAGTAAAATGGTATTTTGTGCTTCTCTGGCCCTGGGCCTGCCCCCTCCAGTCTGGATGGCTTCCTTGAACATGGTGCCACTGCAGGGCCACCGGTGAGTGTGGTGCTGCCAGCCCCAGCATGGCACTGAACACCCTGGCACCGATTCTTGAGCTACTCCTGGTCTTTTCCAACCTGATTTTAATTTTTTCTTGCAAAACAGGGTTCACAGGTAACAGTGAAGGGTGTCCTGTTGCTCATGCTCCCTGTGGTGATGCTCATGGTAGAGCAGCTTTTTCTCTTCTAAGGAGCAAAGCACTGGTGTTTGGCCCCTTGCAGAGGAGCCACTCTGGCATCAGATTGTGCCCCTGGGAGGTCTCATCTTGCTCCAGTGGGTCACAGCTACATACCCAAACCTGCTTAAAGACCCCCATATATCTGGTCCTGGAGGGGCTGCACTGTCCTCACTGTAGGCAGGAGGGGGAGAGCAATGGGCTGGGTGTGGCATGGGTGGTGCTGGCATGGGGAGAAGGTGTTTGGTGGGGGATGAGCTGGTCTCCCACTGTCCAGGTCGGGAGCAGGCCAGCTCCAACTGGAGAAACACCAGCATCAGCTTGAGGAACCTGAGCTTCAGCCAGCCAGAATCAGCCCTGTCTAGATTTTTGCTTATTTTCTCACTTGCCATGGTTTTTAAAATACTTTCAGTGAAATGAAATGTTTCCCTTAAATTAAATAAAGCCCTGCAAACAGGCTTCACTTCTGTTTATTTGACATAATGAAATAAATGTCATCTGGGCTGGGGAAGGGGCCTCTGATATAATTTCTGTCCCAGAGCTAGGTCAATGCTAGAACTCCCAGAAGAAATGGGAATGTCTGTCTTCCTCCACTTCTTTTTCTCTTTCATGCATAGGACAGAGAAGTTCTGTGAGCCAAGATGTTTGTTGCTTGAATGTGCCAGAGCTGCCTGTAACAACAGAGCTGGGGCAGGGTGAGGAAAGTAGGAAAGGGGAAGTAGGAAATGAAAACCTTTTCAGCCCAAAACATTCATACAATGGCAAAAAACCAAAGCAAACCAAAGCCAAATATAATGGGGTCTGTGAGTTCACTTGGACTTCTGGTGAATGTTTGTGGTGGAAAAAATGGGATGTTTTATAACAAAAAAAGAACAACAAAAGTGGTGATGTTGATGTGGTGCTTTGGGAAGATTCTTGCTGGGCTGTTGGGGCAAGAAGAGACAGTGAGAAGCCCTGAGGTAGTTTTTCAGCTCAGAAACATTAATTTGAAGAAATAAAGTGTCTTTTAAACGTGACACATCAGCTGGAGCAGCGTGTCCCAGCATAATTTCTGGGTTCTGGGATTTACTGGTTTATACAGGTTTTGGGATAAAGTCATAGGGTGGGGTGGTCCCAGTGATGCTGGGGGTTAGGGAATTTCCTTGGGGATGCATGTCTGGCCCGTGGCAGCAGGCAGGATTGTGGAACATGTGTGGATTTCGGATTGATCTCGGCCTGTCTTCCTTCAACGGGCTGTACCTCTGTCTGCTGGTAATGATTCTCCTTACTTTGCTTCCACCTCCCGGTTCCTGGGCTGGGATTCCAAAGGGTCCTGACATGACATTTTGTATCTGCTGGGGCTGGGGCTGTGCAGGCATTTTCCTTCACAGGTTGGGAGACCTTCCCCAGCAGTTCCTGTTTGCTCCGCAGTTTTTAGCAGGTCACCAAATGCACATAGCAGTGACAGATGCGCTGTTTCCCTGCTCTGTTTTTCTCCACCTGGAACAGATGGATGGAGCTGAAGCCACTGGCTTCTCCAGTGCTGGCATCATTGCAATGCCTGGGAATGCTGCAGCCAAGTGCTGCCCATGTCAGTCTTGAACAGCTCTAACGTTACAGTTAGAAAGGGTGAGCACTTCGTGCTAGTTCCAAGCCACCCTTGGTGATACCACGCTTGATACAGACACCCACCCATGTCATTCTGCCCAGAGCCCACCACTGGGGATGGGCACTGGGGCAAACCCTGAGTCAGTGCTGAAGGGAAGTGGTGGTCCCCAGCATCCCAGGTGCTGTACTCAGGGATACTTGCCAAAATTTGTTTTGCACAGAGCCAGGATGTTCTGTCAGGGCTCAGGACCATGCATGGTACATACTGAATCCCCAATGATGCTTTTACCCTTTCCATTTGTTCTCTCCCCAGATTCCAAAGTTTTTCTTATCTACAACACTGGCGCACAGGACTGCCTGGAGGCCAAGGACTCGCTGGTGCGACTGGCCAAGGGCTGCAATGCCAGTGCCCCAGCCCAGCAGTGGAAATGGGTCTCCCGAAATCGCCTCTTCAGTGTAGGGGCCATGCAGTGCCTGGGGGTGTCATGGCATGGGGCCAACACCACGGCGGGGTTGCACCTCTTGGCCACCTATGAGTGTGACCGCGAGTCAGTCAACATGCGCTGGAGCTGCCGTGGGCTCGGGGAGCACCTCTCGCAGCATCTAGGTGCCCGCTTGGGCAATTCTTCCCTGGACAGGGGGGATCAGGTGCATGGCTCACAGTGGAGGACATATGGCACCGAGGAGGATCTGTGCTCCATGCCCTACTCTGGTAACGCTTCCTTGGGCATTATTGTTATCCTGTATCCCAGACCAGCCCCAAAACATGAGTTGAGGCGCTGTGGTGCTACAGCAATTGGGTTCTGCCTGGGAAGCTCAGTCCCACCTTGCTGGGGCTACAGAACCAGGCAGGATCAGGGCGATGGGGAGTGGGAAACCTCTGGGTGCCCCATAACCACCCACACTGGGCCAACCCGCACCCCTCACCCCAGATCTCTCTCCAGTCCCTGTAGACGTATCCTCAAGCAAGAGCTCCTCTTTTCCCTCAGAGATTTACACCATCCAGGGCAATTCACATGGGAAGCCCTGCACCATCCCCTTCAAGTATGACAACCAGTGGTTTCACGAGTGCACCAGCACGGGGCGAGAGGATGGGCACCTCTGGTGTGCCACCACCCAGGACTATGGCAAGGATGAGCGGTGGGGCTTCTGCCCCATAAAGAGTAAGTAGGGGGACACATCCCATGGGAAAAAGCAAAAACTCCATGCCAATCCCTCTTGGGGACTTCCAGGCTTCTCCTTTCCCCCTGCAAGCAGTGCTGCCAGAGCAGCAAGTTATTGGCATTTACTGGGTAATTGGGAGGGTGTTTGTGTCTGGTGTTGGGTGCTCACCATGCTCATCCCCACAGGCAATGACTGTGAGACCTTCTGGGACAAGGACCACCTCACGAACAGCTGCTACCAGTTCAACTTCCAGTCAACACTGTCGTGGCGGGAAGCCTGGAACAGCTGTGAGCAGCAAGGGGCTAACCTGCTGAGCATCACAGAGATCCATGAGCAGACCTACATCAATGGTGAGATTCTGTCAGCCTGGCTGTGCACTCCTCATGTGGGGCAGAGCTGATGGCACTGTGGGCATTGCCGCTGCCAGTTTGCTCCGCCTGCCCCAGGTTTGGGGGGATGACAAGCTGGGGACTGAGCTGGGCTAGAGGGACTGATTCTACCCCTCTGGCTGTGTTGGCTCCAGGTCTGTTGACTGGATACAGCTCCACGCTCTGGATTGGGCTGAATGACCTGGATATCAATGGAGGCTGGCAGTGGTCAGACAACTCGCCCCTCAAGTACCTCAACTGGGAGAGTGGTAAGACAGGGGAAGTTGTGGTGGTGATGGGGCCTGAGGAACACTGTGACCACTAGAGATGGCCCCATGGCAGGGGAGGTGGTTCGGGCTGCTGCAGGGTATCCCCTTGCTGCGTGGGGACAGAGAGCCCCAGGGGCCTGTGTAACAGCCTGGGACATCTGTGGAGCTAGAGCAGGGATACAGGGTGCTAAGGGGGAATTGGTCCTCTGCAAACACTTGTTGACCCTGTGGATAACCTGGGTTGGCTTTCCTTGTTTGGTGGGTTGCTGCATCCCTGCTTATTGCTGGAGTGTGGCTGAGGAATGGTCCCCAGCTGCAGACACCCATCCCTAACCCCGGTACTCAGAGGGAAGAGGGCCCATTGGTCATGCCTTGCACTTGGGGGAATATAGTTATACCCTCAAAGGAGGTTTGAGGACAGGTGGGAGCAGTTCAGGTCTGGTACTTTGACCCCCTGACTGCTATCAACATTTCCAGGTAAAACAGCGACCTTTAGGTTCTGACGCATTGAGGCACTATAAATAATCCTGGACATGCTGGGGCCATGTCTTCATCATGCAAAATAACAAAATTAAAGGGGTTTTACTGGTGTTGAAACAAGGAGAGCTGCATTGATGGCTCTTCCCTGGCTTCTCAGTAGCATGTTCCCTCCTTATCCCACTCTCCAGACCAGCCTGACAACCCCAGTGAGGAGAACTGCGGGGTGATTCGCACTGAGTCATCTGGGGGATGGCAGAACCGCGACTGTGGCATCGCCCTCCCCTACGTCTGCAAGAAGAAGCCCAATGCCACAACTGACCCCTTCCTGACAGGTGAGCAGGGGATGACCAGAATTGGGAATGGGCAGCTCTGTAACCCGTCTAGGCATGCTCCCACTCCAGCATGGTCAGGGGATGCTGCCTGACAGGTGCCCATTGTGTTCTCAGCTTGCTGGTGTCCTAGGTGTGCAGAGCAGGGCTTGAGCTCCCTAGATTTAGGAAAAGTCATCCCCAAGGAACATTTCCAAGAAGTGCTTGGTGCCATTCCAGGTTTGGTGATAATGGAGGGATGGAGAGCAACAGGTCCCTGTGGTCCCCAGAGGAGGGGATGCTCTCTGCTCTGCTCTGCCCTCATTTCTCTGCGGTCAGAAGGGATTTTTTTTTTTGTCCCTGGAGCTCAGAAGCCACCATTCCCACACCTTGCACTGCTTGTTATATTTTGGCCGTGGCTTTCCCACCGTGGCTTTGGCTTGGTCTGCTGAGGACCCACAGGACTCCAGTCCTTTCCCTGCCAAGGAGAGGGCTGGATAGCTGGGCATGAGCCCTCAGGCTACCTTGTGTCCTGCCAGACTCATGGTCAGAAGTGAAGGTGGACTGTGAGCCCAGCTGGCAGCCCTTCCAGTCCAACTGCTACCGGCTGGTAGGAGAGAAGAAGAGCTGGCAGGAGGCAAAGAAGACCTGCCTGCGGAGTGGGGGTGATCTGGTCAGCATCCACACCTTCTCTGAGCTGGAATTTGTCACCAAGGAGATCAAGCAAGGTAAGGAGGAGCTTGCTGTGCCAGCAGCCCCTTTCCTGTCTTATGGTTCATGGAAAACTCCCTGGATGTACTGGAGGCTGCAGAGCTGACTTTGTGGTTGTGCAGGGAGTGGAGGTCCCAGGCTGGGAGTTGCTGTGTTCCTTGGAGGACCCCATAATCTTGGTGCATCCTCCATCCAACAAATCTAAAAGCTGTTCTGCAGCCTACAGTGTGCTGAGTCAAAACTACACAGCTGCAGCTGGGAGTGGTGCTATTCTCAGCTGGTTAATGTAGGAAAAGATGGGAGAAAAATTCCTGCTGGACTTGCTGGAGGAGGCCAGCAAGGAGGTATAGGAGACTGGAGGAAGGAGAGGAAGTAGTTCTGCCCCTAGGCTGGGAGCAAACTGGGATGTGCTGGAAAGGAATGCTTGAAAACTATTAGTTCGCTGGACCTGAACCTGTAGGCTTTTACTCCCATACTGCTAGCCCCACTCTGAAAGCTGCAGGCAGATGTCCCTGTGTTTCCCACTCTGGGGGTGCATGTCCTTGTATTTCCCACCCTGGGAGTCCATCCTTTGCAGACAGGACCTGCCCTGACCTGTCCTGTCCTGTCCTGTCCTGTCCTGTCCTGCCCACTGACACAAGGAGATCAGGGCTGAGCCCTGAGTGGGTTTTGGCAGATGATGTGCAGAGAACAGTCTCTGACTCTCATGAGGGCTGAGGTCACCAGGGGATTCTGCACAGGGTCAGCCAGGAGGAGTGAATTTTACTCCCTCCCTTTCTGTCCTGACAGATGTGGAGGAGCTCTGGATTGGCCTAAATGACCTGAAACTGCAGATGAACTTCGAGTGGTCAGATGGGACACCTGTGAGATTCACATACTGGCACCCCTTCGAGCCCAACAACTTCCGTGACAGCCTGGAGGACTGTGTGACCATCTGGGGACCAGTGAGAAGCTGGATGGGATGGGGGGGGTTATCCTGCACCTCTGCAGGGAGCATCGCAGTATCCTCATTGTTGAGGAAGGCATTCCTCGGGAGTGTCTCCAGCTGGGTTCAACCTAGTTCATCTGAGTCATTGGGATGAGAGGAATCCATCTCATCATCCTTGGGTATTTGGTGTAGGGAAGGAAAGTCTTTGCACCCAAGATAGGGGTGGGGACATTCCCCAGGCTGTCAGACAGGCTCATTGCCACTCCTCCTCCCACCCTGCAGGAAGGGAGGTGGAATGACAGCCCCTGCAACCAGACCCTGCCATCCATCTGCAAAAAGCCTGGTCGGGTGAGCCAGGAGAAGGAGGAGGAAGACCATGGATGCCGAAAGGTGAGGGGCACCTGGGGTGGCAGTGGCTCTGGCTGCTCCACATCTCTGCATGGTGCTCGAGGCTTCACCTTTCCTTGAAACCATTTTGGGGAGCTCCAGTGAGCAGCACCGAGAGCAGCTGGTCTGTGCCTGAGAGCTGCTGAGCTGAAGCTTTCTGGGCCTGCTGAGCCCCTCACTGCCATGGTGGAGGAGTCCATGGGAAGAAATTGGGACACAAAGCACATATGTTTGTGCATTGTCCAAGATCCTCCCTATCAGACAGCTTTGGCTACCAGCAGGGATGTTAATTTTTCCCCCCTTACCTCTCTTTGTGCCAAAATACAGGAGCACATGGGAGCCTGGCAGGATGGAAGTGGCTGCCAGCCCTATGCTTTGACATGATGGCAGGTTTCCTCCGGGCAGGGCATAAGCGTTCTGGGGACACCAAACCAGTGGATTCTCACTCAGCCCATGCCCTGCCTCAGTTTCCCCAGCTGCCACATGGGGCTGAAGCCACCCCGTTCCCACGCTTGCTGGGAAGTGGCTTTTGTGGTTCTCTGCAAAGCCTCCAAGCACTGAGTCTGGCAGCACTGTGGCTCTTCAAACTCTCACAGCCTTTCAGAGCTGGCCAATGTTCTTGGAACCTGACTAGCAGGCAGCTGCTCCAGGCCAGCTCCCAGAAGTGCTGCTGGGCTCTTCCTGTATCCTTGCCCCATTTCCAGCAGCTGCTTGGCTCTGCCAGAGCTTGAGGGAGCACAGCAGCTAGGAAAGCTGCCATGCAGTGCCAGATTTAGGCCTGGCAGGCTGCCAGATATAGCTGGAAGTGCCCCAGTGTCTGCAGGTGCTGGAGATGAGACATTTGGTAGCAAAGTTCTGATACCACATATCTCTGTGTCCCCAAAGCACTCCTGGAGTCTCCGTATGCAGATTTAACTCCCTCCTGGCTCTCCAGCCACAGTCTTATCCTGACCCTGGGTGCCCAGCAGACATGCACTGGCAAACAAACTGTGAGGGACAAATGAACCAATGAACCAATGCAAGGGACAAATGAAGCAAGAACCATCCTTCCTCTACTTACTCATTCTCAATGAGGACTTTTGCCACCCAGAGGCAGAAGCTGGTGGAGAGGAAGCACATCTTGCTCAGGGGTTTGGTCCTATCCACTCCAGCCTCTCTGCTGGTTTTTCATGGTGGCCTTGCTGGTTTTTCCTCCCCTTTAAAAATTTCCTTTATGTTAGGAACAGCCTTAAAGGAAGCAATGAAAGATAGAGGTTTGGGCAATGGGAAAGGCAGATCAGGAGAGGGATGTGAGGGCATACTTAGGAATTAGATGCTGGAGGAAATAGATGGGGTTGGGGATCCTGTTCTGGTCTTCTTTTGGATAACAGGGACTTGCTGTAGTGCTCAGTGTGTGGGAGTGCACGCTCTTATTAGGGTATTAAGGGTGCTGCGGCTGGTGCTGGCTGGGGACATTGCACTGACCCAGGGCAGGCCCCTTTCTTGGCTGCTCAGTTGCATCCATGCTGTTTCAGAGGAACCCAGCTTATGGGTCTGTGCCTGGATTTGCCAGCTTTGGAGAAAGGCTGTAGGAGCAGGAACTTTGGGAAAAAAGTGGGATTTGCTGTTGTTTTAATTTCCCAAAGCTGCTTTCCTGCTTCCCTCCCCACTATGCTGATGACACTTCCTCTGGCATGTGCCCCCCACTATCTTTCCAGTGCCCAGGGGACCCAGCAGTAGAACCCTAGTGATGCTTCCCCTTCCAGGGGGTCCCTGAGCCTGGGGCCACTTGGCTCCATGGCTGAGCCACTTTACCCTTGTGAAGGATGTGTGTACCCTCTTGCAGATGAGCCCCCATGTCCCTCCCCACTTTGCCACCACCACTGCCAGCCCCAGGGCCACCCTGCTCCCTGCTCTGGCAGAAAACAGTCACTGTTGTGTCTCCAACCCCAGAGAGACTCCAACATCAACAAGGCAGGAGATTAAAGCTGGCTGCAGTGGTGCTCGCTTTGGATTCAGCCCTGCAGTGTAAAGAGTAGGATTGTGTTCCCCTGCCTGCACCCTGGCCAGGAATGGACGCTAGCAGGGACAGCTGTTTCCCCAGCTTTGAAGCTGCCTGGGTGCTTTCCCTGTAGCCATGTCCTCTGAGGCCAGGGGCTTGTTAGAGCTCAAAGCTGAGCGGGATCAAGCTGGGGTAGCTGGGGGCAGGAAACCTCCCAGGAGAAGGCAGAGGCAGTGGTAGGGAACTTGGGATGTTGCTCGTGCCCTGGGATTGCTCCTATCCTTCGGGGGAGGTCCAGGTGGACAGTGCTGGATGATCCCTGTCACCCATCCCCAGGGCTGGAAGTGGCACAGTCCGTCCTGCTTTTGGCTGGGTGAGGATCGTGTCCTCTACAGCGACGCTCGCAAGACGTGCTCTGACTACAGCTCCACGCTGGTTACCATCACCAACAGGTCAGTGCCATGCCAGTGGTGGTGGGTTTGCCCCTAAACAAGCCCTGCAAGGTGGAGAGTGACTTCCAAAGGCTGGAGCATCATGGTCAGGCTGCATCGCCCACTTGCTGTCCCTCCAGGTTCGAGCAGGCATATGTGAGCAGCCTCGTCTATGGCTGGGATGGGGAGTATTTTTGGACAGCTCTGCAGGACATCAATGGTACAGGTGCCTTCCACTGGCTGAGCGGTGATGAGGTGATGTACACTCACTGGAACCGCAACCAGCCCGGTAAGGGATGGGGGTGGGATGTGGACTTCCCCTTTATGGAGGGCGGGGCTGGCACTGCCCCCCAGCACAGTCCAACCCTAAGGCTGGCATCTCCCCTGTGAGCGCTCCAGGTTACAACAAGGGTGGCTGCGTGGCCTTGGCCACCGGCAGCTCCATGGGGCTGTGGGAGGTGAAGAACTGCAGCACCTTCAAGGCCAAGTACATCTGTCGGCAGAACTTGGGCACCCCAGTCAATCCTGAACTGCCCGGTCCTTTCCCTACACCCAGCATTACTGCCGCCTGTCCCCCAGGATGGAGCTCCGACCCCAAACTCCGTCACTGCTACAAGGTGAAGGGGGGTTGGATAGGTTGGTGTGGGGATACACGTGCCTCCCCAGTGCAGGGGAATGAAGGGGAACATTTTGGTGCTTGCAGGAGGCACCCTACAACCCTGGCTGGGGCTGGATGGCAGCACTGTGCCCTGGGATGTGGCTGCCTGTGGGTGGGAACAGTGCTCTGCTCCTGTTCTGCTGCTGAGCCCATCCATGCTGTGGGTTCTTTCCCAGATATTCAACTTCGAAAAGCTGCAAGAAAAGAAGACGTGGATCGCTGCGCAGGAATTCTGCCAGGATCTGGGGGCTCAGCTGCTCAGCCTAGGCAGCTATGAGGAGGAGCACTTTATCACCAACACCCTCAACAAGATTTTTGGGTGAGAGGCTGGTGGCATTGGTGTGTGTCCCACTGCCAGAGTGTGCTTGCCACAAGCCCACAGCCCTCTTGGTGCTCTGGCACATGTGGATGGATGGATGGATGGATGGATCTCTGTGAACACAGACTGGTGTACAGAAGGTGCATCAATTGGCGTGGCTGATGTGGGAGATGTGCAGGAAGTTCAGTGTAATCTGGGGATGGAGCTTGGGTTTAAAGCGACTCCAGCCCTGACACAGGATGCCTGTTATCCCAGTACCTAACTTCAAGTATGTGGGGATGTCAGGCTTTGAAAACAAACAGAAAAAACTCTGATTATAAATTTGTATTTATATATATATATTAAATAAATATGAACCCCTGTGGTTTGAAGGGGGTCATGTAGTCACCTGTTGCTCTGGCTCCCCATAGGGAGTCAGAACCAGAGCTTCACGAGCAGCACTGGTTCTGGATCGGCCTGAACCGGCGGGACCCTGCTGGGGACCTGAGCTGGAGGTGGAGCGATGGGCTGGGGGTGAGTCCGGGGCAGCATTTGGGTTCTGGGAGGGACAAATCTGGTGCTTGTGGAAATGCCCAACACTGCCCATCTCTCTCAACCCCCAGTTTTTCTACCACAACTTTGACCGCAGTAACTATGATGACGATGACATACGGAGCTGTGCAGTGCTGGATCTGGCCTCCCTGCAGTGGATGCCTATGCAGTGTGAAGCCCAGCTGGACTGGATCTGCAAACTGCCCAAAGGTAACTGGCAAAGGGGTCCCCAAACCCATCAGCTATGACTGACCTGGAGGAGTGTGGGCTGTGGGGTGGTGGAATCCTTGGGAGGAGGGAGGGTGATTCCTAAATCAGGCACTGGGAAAGGTGCTGTCATTTTTGGGGGAATTCAGGAGGGGCATCCTGCCATTGTAGTCCATGTATGGTTTGCAGAGAAGCATCCCAGTCTGCACCCCACTGACAACTTCTTCTTGCCCTTTCTCCAGGTGCTGATGTGAAGGAGCCAGAGATCACAACCCAAGGTGTGTTGGCCACAGCTTTTGGCACAGTCACAGACTATTCTAAATTGGACAGGACCCACAATGACCACTGAGTCCAGCTCCTGGCCCTGCACCCCAGCAGTCCCACCCTGATTGCTTTAGAGTGTTGTCCAAATGCTCCTTGACCTCTGTCAGCCATGGAGCCATAGTTACTGCCCTGGGGAGCCTGTTCAGTGCCTGACCATCCTCTGGGTGAAGAACCTTTTCCTATTCAACCTCAACCTCATGTCAGGCATAGACCACCTGAGGTCTTCAGTGGGTGTCTGCTGCAGTGTTATTCAGAGAAGGATGGATCCTGGGCAGGGTTGTGGGAGGGAGGGGAACCCAGGCATCCTGCTGGGGCTCTGCTGCAGGAGAGGGCAAAAGGAAAGCAGCCCAAGAGCACCAAGGCAAGAACCAAGGGTGTCAGCCTCAGTGTGACACCAGTCTCTGCCTGCAGGCAGCAAAGAATGGGTGAAGTACCAGGAGGCCGAATACAAGTTCTTTGAACACCACTCAACATGGCTTCAGGCACAGCGCATCTGTAGCTGGTTCCAGGCTGAGCTGACATCAGTGCACAGCAAGGCTGAGCTGCAGTTCCTGGGCCAGAACCTGAAGAAGGTACCAAGGGAACAGGAATTTCCCAGGCCTCTGGTGGGCTCTGCTGCCTTGTGAGCTGCTCTTCCTTGTCTTGTTTCACCCTTTTCTGGAGGGAAAATACTTGGGAGCACTGGGCTTTGCTGGGATCATGATGGACTTATGTGGTGGCAGGTCCTGATGCCTGGGGGTGGGCTGGGGCTCATCAAAGTGATGTTTTTTGCCTTGCTTTTGCAAGCTGGGGAAGGGTGTCTGATCCCCATGGCAGCCTCAGCTGCCTCCAAAGACCCCCCCAGTCCCTGAAGGGCACTGATACGTCCTCTCTGGGCATGCAGTTCTCCAGGGGCCAGGAGCAGCACTGGTGGATTGGGCTGCACACCTATGAGAATGATGGGAGGTTCAGGTAAGTCACAGACACCCACTGTATCCCTGGATGTCCCCACACTACAGTCCCCATCACATTCCCACACCACTATGTTCCTGCATGTCCTTAAACTACTGTCCCCACCTCTCAGAGTGCTGTGACTCAGCAACTGCATCTCAGGGGTCTCATCCTGGGGTGCTGGGCTGGAAGTTCCTCACTCAAGAGGGCAGTGGTGGGACATGCTTCCAGTTAGGGTATTCAAATGGTCCCATTCACCAAGTCACTGCTCAGCCTTGTGCTCCTCCTGATGCTGTTCCAGGTGGTCTGATGGGTCCCTCCTCAACTTTGTCTCTTGGGCACCAGGCAAGCCTCGGCCCATCAGCAAGGACAGGAAGTGTGTGTACATGACAGCCAGCCGAGGTGAGGGCAGGGCAGGGCTCTCTGCATGGGGCTTTCTGGCTGGGGCACCAGTACCGGTGCAGAGGGGCATCATGCCCAACATGTCCCTCCCCACAGAAGACTGGGGGGACCAGAAGTGCATGACAGCTCTGCCTTATATCTGCAAGCGGAGCAACGGGACAGCTGTGAAGCCGTCCCTCTCTCCCGTACCTGCTGCCACAAGTGGGGGCTGTCCCCAAGGCTGGCTGCCCTTCCTCAGCAAGGTACTCCTGGAGGGAGAGGGGGTGGCAGGGTGGAGAGGTGATGGCTACTTCCAGGTCTTCCACCAGCCCTGCAGAGACAAAGAGGGGGTGGCTGCAAAATGGCAGGATGGAGAGGGATGCCTACATATTTTGTGGGGAGTGCTGTGGCATGAATTTACAGGGATGCTGGGTGACGTGCTGTGAGATGGCGAAGGTGAGGTGCGTGCACAGGTTTACCAGGAGAGATGTGGGAGGGCCAGAGAGCTTGAGGAGTGGCAGGCATGGGGGTGTGAAGGGGAGAAGGACCACTGGGGAAGAATGAGGCTGCAGAGGGTGGCTGGGTGGGGAGGGTGCATGGCTCAGGGTTGGGGGCAGCTGTATCTCCTGACCCATCCTGTGCCCCTGCCTGTGCAGTGTTTCAGCTTCAATGGTCACAACAAAGGCGAGACAGTGAAGTGGCCAGAGGCAAAGCAAGTATGTGAGAGCCAGGGCGCCATCCTGGCCACCATTGCCAGCCCCCTGGAGCAGGGTAGGTTTCCTCTGCCACACCACCGCACCAGGGTTCTACCTGCCACGGGTGGTCCTCAGCGTCTCACCTGTCACTTGCAGCCTTCATCACATCCATGCTGCCCAACATCTCTTTTGACCTCTGGATTGGCCTGCACGATGCCCAGGGGGAGTTCCTGTGGTTGGAGGGGGAGCCACTGCGGCACGTGAGCTGGGCACCTGGAGAGCCTTCAGGCTGCAGCTCCTCCAGCCCCCGTGACAAGCCGGTGAGGGAGATTCCCCATAGTACCCCCATCCCTCAGGAAGGTCTCAGCATCAGGCCCAGACTTTGATAAGGAAGGATTTAGTGGGCTGGGGTGTCTCTCCAAGGGTAGCGCAGGATGCAGCCCTTCAGGGTGGGGGTCTCTGGCATGGGGATCACTGTGGTGTAGGACAACAGTGCTAAGGGCAGTACTGACCTTGTGGCTTGGCTGTGCAGACCAACTGTGTTGTGGTGTGGCATGGCTCACCCCCTCTCTTCACGGGACGCTGGGATGACCGGAGCTGCCTGGAGGAGAAACATGGCTATGTCTGCCAGCGGAGCATAGGTAGGAAGGTAGCTGGGGAACAGCCTCAGCTCTCTTGGCTGGGGATGTGCCACTGCCACCCTGGTGCCCCATGCTGTGGTGGGACTGAGGAGCTTGTGGCAATGGGTTTAGCTTGGGGAGAGTTGCGGAGACAGACTTAACTTGGGCAGGTGGGTCCCTGGTCCCAGCTTTTTGTGGGGCATCCCCAAACCTGTGCACAGCAGCTTGGCTCAGTGCATCCCACAGAGACCTGCATCCTAGTGGACAGCTTCCAGGTGGAGATGGTGCTAGGGTGTCACTGCTTGTTATCCCTGGGTATGTCCCTCTGCCCTCCGCAGTTGCACCAGGATGTTGCCAGGTGCAACCAGCACAATACTGCCAGGGACAGCCTGGGTAGGGATGGATATGGGGGTGACCCACCTGGGATGCAGGAGTGTCCTCTGTGCCCTCTGACCATGTCTCTTTGCTCCTCCAGACCCGTCCCTGAGCCCTGTGCAGGCACCGTTCCCCCCTTCTCCTACTGGCACCCTTTTTTACCACAACAGCACTTACCGCATCCTGCAGAAACCTCTTAGGTGGCACGAGGCACTGCTGCTCTGCGAAACCCTCAATGCCACCCTGGCCACCATCCCCAATCCCTACAGCCAGGCCTTCCTCACACAGGCCATCAGCAGCCTGCAAGCTCCACTCTGGATTGGGTTGGTCAATGATGAGGTGAGGGAAGGGGGCAGGCACCCAGGGCACAGTTCCCAGAGGGATTGCAGCTGCCCCCCAGGCATCTTCTCCCTGTGGTCTTCCAGGGAGGCCGGAGCTACTCATGGCTGGCAGAGGAGAACCTCATCTACACCAACTGGCAGGATGGGGAGCCCCAGCAGATCACTGGCTGCTCCTACATGGACATGGATGGGAGCTGGCGCACAGCTGGCTGTGACACCAAGCTGCAGGGGGCCATCTGCCAGCTCCAAACAGGTGTTGGCCAGGGGGTCTAGGGTAGTCTGAGTGGGGTGTGACCAAGGGTTGGAGATGGCATCCCACCAGGGACCTTCTGCAGCATGTCCTTGTGGGTCTCGGTGCCCCAGTGTGCTGTGAGACCCCAACATCCTGTGCCCCACCACACCTTTAATGTACCATGTGCTCCCCAGGTCACCCCCACACTCACAAGTGGAGCTACAGTGGCAGCTGCCCCAAATCGCTGGAGGACTCGTCCTGGATCCCCTTCCGGGACCACTGCTACACCTTCCACATGGAGATCACCCTTGGGCAGAAGGATGCCATGAGGAGGTGCCAGAAAGGTATGAGGGAGCTGGGGTGGTAAAGGTGGGGTCGTGCATCCTTGGAAATGGAAGAGGGTGGGATCCCCAGGACATTTGTGGGTGCAGCCCACATTGTCCCTGTGGCTGTGTCTAGCCTTTTTCAGCCATCATCTCCTTGCTATTCCATGTTTGGGTTCCCCAGTCATCATGTGGTTTTTGGATGAGTCCTCAACTTTGTCCTCTTGGGTACTGCTGCTCCCTAACTCAATCCTTTCAGTCCTGGGCTCCTCCATGACAGTCTTCCCTCTGCAGTTGGCGGCACAGTGTTGTCCATCCAGGATGAGATGGAGAACGTCTTTGTGTGGGAGCATCTCCAGGCATACGAGGACTTTGCCAAGGGGGCCTGGTTGGGCATGACCTTCAACCCCAAAGGTACAAAGGAAGGAATGAAGTTTGAGATACTCCCCCAGGCACCGTCATGAATTCCCACCAATTCTGTGGTGAGCAGAGGAAGCCCTTGGTGGTGGTACCACTGAGGAGGGCTCATGCCATAGTGTGACCAGTGTCTCAGGCCATGCTGGACTTATTGTGTATGTCCTCCTCTGGCTTGGTAGGATAGGAAGCCCAAAGCCTTCTCCAAGGCACCGGAGCTTGAAGATTCAGGAAGGTGCATTGTAGCCCCTGGTCCTCCCCATCACACCTCCCCACCATAGAATCACAGAATCATAGAATGGTTTGGGTTGGAAGAGACCTTAAAGCCCATCCAGTCCCACCCCCTGCCATGGGCAGGGCCACCTTCCACTAGACCAGGTTGCCCAGAGCACTGTCACACCTCCTTGTATTTTCTGAACTGGGACAAAAGTGGGGTGCCCTCTTCAGCCTCCTCAAGCCTAATTTTCACAATTCCTAGGTGGCACCTTGGTTTGGCATGACAACACTGCTGTAAACTATTCTAACTGGGGCCAGCACGACACGGGGCCCAGCATGCTTAGCCAGAACAGCTGCTACTGGATCCAGAGCAGCAACGGCGTGTGGCATCTAGGCTCCTGCGCAAACGTAACTATGGGGGTCATTTGCAAGATCCCCCGAGGTAGGACCCCCTCTGCTGCCCAAGGCTTCTGGGCTTACATAGGGTGTACTGGGGCTCTGAGAAGGGTGCTGCATGGCTGTCACATGGCTGTCACACTGGCAGCACCAACCACATGTTTTGAGTAATTCCAGTGCCCAGGCTTGTATGGGTTGCTGTTGGGGTCTGCAGGTCCTCTTTGGGCTTGGTGATGGGCTGTGCATGTCTTAGTGGCTGGGTCAGCTCCTTGGGACAGGATGAGGCCAGTGGGACAGTGGTGGAGCAGAGCCAGAGGACCACCCCAGCTGTTTACCGCCCATTGCTTGTGTGGTGTGGCACTGGGAGCAGTGCAGGATGTGGGTCCAGTGGGGCTGGTGGTGGTAAGATGGGAGGGCATCATGCACTCACTTGTCTGTGTTGCAATTGCAGTGGAGGAGAGCAGCTTTTCCAGGGCAGGTGAGTGGCACCATCAGCCTGGGCACAGTACTGGGCCTGGAAACCAGGACTAGGAACCTGTGCCACAGTCTGGCTTGTGTAAATAACCAAAGGAATGGGGTTCGTGGGTAGGGAATGCCATTCCCAAGTGACTTTGGCCTTGAATTAAGACTCCTTAGCAGCAGAAGCCATCCTTCCATGAAGGTATGTGTCTGCCCAGCCACTTGCCAGACTCTCCTTCCTGTGCCCACACTGCCTGGTCAGTCTGGGGGATGGCCAGCACAGCTGCTGGCAGGATCCCAAAGATCCATCCCAGGCATCTGCTGGGATACATATGTTCATGCATATACTAGGAAAGACCCAGGGAGTCTGCCCAACTGCAGGAGGTCTGCCAGGGGCAAGATGTCCCCAAAGCAACCAAAGCAGATTCACAAGAGTCACAGAATATGCTGAGCTGGAAGGCACCCACAAGCATCATTGAGTTCAACTCTTTTAAGTGAAAGACTTGTACAGGAATCAAATCCACAACCTTGGTGTTATTAGCATCATGCTCAACCAACTGAGCTAATATCATTCCAGTCCTGCTCTTACCCACCACAGGGGAAACAGGCTACCCAGGGCAGTGGTCAGCCCCAAGACTGCCAGAGCTCAAGAAGTGTTTGGTCAGCACTCTAAGGCACAGGGTGGGATTTTTGGGGTGTCCTGGGCAGGTCCAGGAGTTGGACTTGGTGGCCTTTGTGGGTTCCTTCCAACTCAGGAAATTCTATGATTAAATAACCCTGCTCAGAAACACAGGCCTGGCTGGAGCCCCACCAGTCCCAGCCTCTCCTGCAGGCTGAGGAAGAAACAGGACCCATCTGTCTGCTTCTCAACAGCCTTTCTTCCCTGCAGCTCTGCCGGAAAATGCGACAGCCATTGCAGTGGTCGTGCTGTCAACGCTGGCGCTGTGTGCTGTGCTGGGGGTCGTCCTCTTCCTGTACAAGCGCCGACAGAGTGTGGAGCGTGGCGCCTTTGAGAGTGCTCGCTACAGTCGCACCACTTCCAACCCCAGTGAATCTGCCGAGAAAAACATCCTGGTGTCCGACATGGAGATGAACGAGCAGCAAGACTAATGGCAGAGGAGACGCTGGGGATGGGGATCTGGGGAGGGGGGGGACAGAGAGCATCACACACGCTATCCCCATGGCGCACAGGGCAGGGGTGGCAGGGCAGGGAGAGGGGCTGGGGTCGGGGTTGGGGAGCAAGCAGGTGGGCAAGAGGAGGCAGCCAGGGTCCCTCCTGCCCCTATGTCACTGCCATCACATCTGGGTGTGTCCCCAGCTGCCAGTGTTTTGCCTGCAGTAGCTGTGGAGGCAGTTTCAGGGCTAAAAGGTTTTGAGGGAAGTTGCTGCACAAGTATGAGAGTTTTCCAGTGGCATGAACAGGCTTCAAGACACCTTTGCCTTGGGAGAAGGCAGGCACAGGCATTCAGGGCCCTGCAGCAGGATCTTCCCCCCCTAGGAACCGAGCTGGTGTCCATAAAGACATCCTCCCGGACAAGAGGTCTCCAAAGTTGATCTACCTCGCCTCTGTGTGCAGCAGCAAGGGCCCTGCCAGCTCCCAGCCCCACCACTGTGCCACTCCTTCCCTCTTCAGCCTCATTCCCCACCTCCAGCAGAAAGCAGAGACACTGTTGCAGCGATCCGAGCATAGACCCCTCCCAGGATCAGCGATGGAAACCCCCTCTCCCCCTTGGCACATTCCTAGGGCTGTGCCCAGCGCCAGTGAGGCTGTGGCAGCTTCTCTGTTCTGTAAGCCAGAGCTTGTCCCATTTTCTTTGGTGGGTGTGTCCCCCAAATAACTGCACAGGAGAGCACCACAGCAAACTGCTGGCTCAGCCCCTCTGGTGGGAGCACCCTCAACACCCCAGATCCCACAGGAGAAGTTGGGTCCTGAGGCAGGAAATGTTGCCAGAGATCCAGGGCCACCCTCTGTGCCTTGCCAGGAAGGGATGGCATGGGGCTGGGGTCACTTGTCATTGGTGCCTTGCTGGGCCCAGAAGGCCAAGGATCAGTGCTGTAGGGTGGGGAGGATTTGGAAGTTTTGGTGGTTGTTTTGAAGTTGGTAGTTTGTTGGTTTTTTTAAGGAAATGATGGTAGCTTTTGTTGCTATACTGTACTGAGTTTGTGCTGAATATATACATTTTTTTCAGTCAGCTGGCTGGGGTGTGTGTGGTTGCCTGTTTCCCATGTAGGGTGTAGCAGAGGAGGAGGTGGAGGTGAACGAGGAAGGCAGCGTGTGACTAATCTCCTGCCTGGCTTTTGAGCTGTGCAGGAAGGAGTGGGGGTGCCTGGGACTGAGCCATCCTCTATCAGCTACATGCATCAGCATCCCTGGGATGCAGGATGCCTGGAGACAGCAAGAGTTGTTAGGTCCCCAGCGAGGGTTCCCATCTAGGAATGGGATCCAAAGAGCCCCTTGGACCTCTGAAGTGGGGTGACACAGCCCTACAAGAGATGTTGCCTTTAGCTTTCTGCCTCTGAGGCTTGAATTGAGGTTGGTTTTGCTGCAAAAAGGAATAAGCAAATTTTTTAAAGTCTCTTTTTTTGACACCTGTGTGGATTTTAAAGTCTGTTGATTTCACTTAAGCTGGACATTAAGTGTTTAAAAACTGTTGGGGGTGGGATGGGGGAACCAAGTACCACTGGTTTTTGTTTACTTTCTGGCAACCTACAAAAGCTGCCATGACATTTCAGGGTGAGGAAGAATCTGGAGCACATGGACCTGCCCCAGCTCCATTTATCTCTCTCAGCTTTCTCTGCCTTTATTTCCTGAAGTCCTTTCTGGTTTGGAGCAGTTGGTTCTGTTCATGGCCTCATGCCCTTCTGATGTGGGAACTAGATCCTGAAAAGCTAGATGTGAATCCATTCTCATCCCCAGCAGCTGGAATTCCTGCTGCAGGGGTGCTTGGAACAGCATACTGAGCTGGTGGGGGTGGAGGTCTAGGATTAACTCCTTCTGGATGGGCAGAGATGTTAGGAAGTCCTAACAAATAAAGACTGAGTTTAGGATTGATGGGCAGGTGTGAGGGAAGAGCAGTACTGAGGGTGCAGCTGGGCAGTGTTGGGACTCCTTTGAAGTTGTGAGACCCTGGGCAGGGTGGGAGCAGGGTAACACAGGGCTTTATGTGTGGGATGCTGTGGAGTAATAGGTGCTGGAGGAAATTCTGTGCCATGGAGAGGCTGGGAAGGAGCTCCCATAGCCATGCAGGAGATGTTAAACTTGGCTCTCACCCAGCCCAACCTGGAAGACCTTGCTTAAGAGAGTTTTCTTTTTTCTTTCCTCTGGATTACTTTGTACTTTTTCCTTCTCCTTTGCTTTTGAGAAAAGAAATCTGAACAGTCTAGGAGTAATGTCTGAGAAGAGTTTGTGAACTGTCAGCAGTGATCAAGATTATGGGGAAACACATATATGGTTACGTGGTATCGCCTATCACCATTAGATAATGTTAAAAATTGCTTAACAGGAACCTTTCATATATATATATATATATATATATATACACACCTATACACACACACACATATATATATGTATATATATATATACACATACACACATATATATATATATATATTTTTTTTTTTTTTTACTCTCTGTGGTTTGTAAGATCCTTTTAGAAGCTTGGAAATAAAATTTCCTTCCCCACTTCTTCCTTTTATTTTTTTTTCCCTGCCTTTTAATTGGGAAAAGTAAAACTTGTCTTTCCCTATGTTCCCAACAAGTAATGAATATAAAGCTGAAATGACACTTACCTGCCTGCAGCAGAGAAGGTTACAAGGTGCCCAGGTGAGGGGGATGTTGTATTGATTTCTTGTGTTTTTTGGTTGCATGTGCCATGGATATGATGTCTCTGCTCCACTGGTTGTTTGAAGTGTTGGCTGGAGCACTCCCACACACCAGGCTTTCCCTGCTTGCACTGGTCACTAGTGCTGTTTCTTCACCTCCCTCTTCTCTGGGGGCTTCCCCATCCCTTCAGTAGCCTGGGGCTGTCCATACCCACTGCTCCCTTCCCTGGAGCTACAACCAGCACTGGCCCTGCTCGCCCACTTTGCTGGGGAGAAATGCGATTTCATAATCACAGAATCACATAATCACATAATTGTTTAGGTTGGGAAAGTCTTCTAAGCTCATCAAGTTCAACTGTGTTCCCCAGCACTGTCAAGCCCACCCCTAACCCATGTCTCCAGTTGCCTCATCCACACAGCTTTTAAATTTCCATGAGGTTTCGTTTGGGTTTACTGGGGCCATTTGGTTTTGTCTGATTGGGTGAAGAGCACAGGGCAGGCACCTGAATAAGAAACTTCGAGGACGCTTTGAAGGAAGAAATTAATTTTCTCTTCTATTGTTATTCACCCAAGAGGTGAGAGCATCTCAGGAACTGCTGCTCTGCGTAATTGCAAACGGCAGCAGAAATAACAGAGTGACACTGCACTGCAGGAGAGAAAAGGAGACTGGAGTCACGTTCCTTCTGGAGCTTAAGCCCTCTCAGGGTGACCTGACCTGACCTGAATTCAGGTGTTTTCTATTCAAAGAAGCTCAGCAAAACTTGTAGTACTGATGTGAAACACTGAAGACCAGAATGTGGTTTATTTATTTATATTTTAATCTAAAAGAAATGTGACCTTTGGGGAAAAGTGCAATTTGTAGTAACCAGAGGCTCTTTCTCATGGGCATAAATAATGCCTGTCTTTTATCAACTCTTCTAAACTTGAACTGAGCATGCCCATTTTAAAAACTCAGTAGATAATTCCATAAGATCTGATTCAGACTGGGTTCATCTGGAGAACACAGATGAAATAACTAATTAAAGTAATTTGAGGTTACAAAATAGCCTAGTTATTTTAGTCACGTTTAATTTCCTTGCTGAATGCCAAGGTATCAGACAGAGGGAAGGCAGCACCTCCAAAGCAGGCAACTAGGACATTCTAAACTAGTCCCTGGCAGGTGAGCTGCCAATCAGCCCACAGATCAACCCTGGATCATGGGCTAGTGTGAGGGTGTGGAAAGGAAATGTCCCTTTTATTTTCAGAAGCTGTTTGTAGCACATGTAATTGCAGCACACCACACCCAGACCCGAGGCTGGGCTTCATCTGATAAACCCGAGTCAGCTCAGGGTGTTTGCACAGCCTGAGCCTCCCACTGTGTCAGCTCTGGTGCACTCACTAGGCACTGGCAGATCTAAACTGGGTCAGGTGAACAGTGACCTAAAGTTCCCTGTTCTGAATAAAAACAGGAGGCTGGGGCAGCTTGGTGAGCTGCAGTGTCTACATTGCACCTGATGGCAGGTGCACAGAATCCTGCCCTCTGAGGCTAAATCTCTCAATAAGTAAAAACAGACCTAAGGACCTACTCATTATCTGCATTGAATACTTGTAGCTATGAACTGAGATGGTCCCAATATCCAGTGTGTGGGAAGCACTCTAATATATTTGTGAGCCCTACAGCATGGGCAGTGCAGAATCCAGCGTGCCACACTCAGCTCGACTAAAGGCATGAGGTGGGTTTGTCTACAAGTTGTAGCTAGCAGAGTGTAGAGAGGATGAGGAGCCTGCTTGGCTGAGCTGTTCTTTGCCACTTGGATCCAACACAGTGGTGCTTGTAAAGGTCACAATTCAGTGTTAAATGTTCAGGAACATGAATGTCCAGAGGGGCTGCAGCACAGCAGATGTCGGGGCTTTGCAGAGCCATGGATGTGTCTGGGCTGTGACCAGTGGCCACGGCCTTTTTAAATCAAATTGCATTTCGCAGCTGTTTTCATTTCACCCTGTGGTAAAAACCACTACTCTGAAAACAACCAGTTCGTGCAAAATGAATCACCCTAAGACCTTTGTTTCCTCATTCCCAGAAGCCAGGCATAAACCTCACTCAGAAGGTATTAATCTGTGTGGGATAAAGGAGGAATCCAATGTTCTGTGTCTGCTTAGTAATTTTGTTCAGGAATAATCAAATATGCTGGGTGCTCCTCATTTGGGATGTTTACCAGTCAAATTATCATGTAGAGTTCATGCTTAATTGTTACCTTCTAATTCATGCAGTCAATACACAGTTTGTAAGGCCCAATGTGAACATATGTGAGTGCAGTCCCACTTATGGATCGAGTTTCCAGTAATGGACAATAACCAGTATGGTGTTAACCATCATCATAGGTGTTATA